CATCGCCTTGTAGGCACCGTTGCGGATGAGGCAAGGGAGCTGCATTTGGCGCTCTACGTCGACGCAGACTTTGCCGGGGAAAGGGACGATGCCAAGTCCACCAAGGTCCCAACACCTTCTTTCCGTTAGCGTGGGTTTCCAAATGCCAGACATCGGTCAGTCGCAGTACTACCGAGTGCGAGATTGTGTCTTTAGCGCACAGCCTTTTTCAAGAAGCACTGCCTGCGCTGCAACTTTGGCAAAACCATCCTCGACTTCCCTATAAGGTTGATCGTCCACAAAGACAATCAAGCAAGCATTTTGGTTGCGAAGAAGGGATATTCCCCTAAGTTGCGACACATTGCGCGTACCCACAAAGTGAACCTTGGATCAATTGCTGAGGTGTTGGATGCAGATGATGTTGTCTTGCAATACGTTGAAACGAACTCCCAAGCGGCAGACATCTTCACGAAGGCTCTCGCTCCACAAAAGTGGGATAATGCCCTCAGACTGCTAGGCCTCCGCCAGAAACTGCCTGAGGTGCTTACAGACGTCCGTCAGTTGAAGACGAAAGCTGGGAGTGGGCCCACAACGGCCGCCAACACCAACACAGCATCCAAGTGAATGCGTCAACCTGCGCGTCCAGATGCATTGCACAGGGAGCTGCTTATAGCGCTCCTGTCATAGGGGGGCTGCATTTGCGCCCCGTGTGCACAGAAAGCTGCCCTAGGCGCCTTACTGCTTGCACAGAATCCGTCGGCTGCAGATGACTCTGGCGAGGGGGGAGTTAAAAGAGACCGACCCCAGAGACCCAGCAGAGTCAGTACCAGAGGCCTCCTAGACTAAACGTTCAGAGGCTCAGTTGGTTTCACTTCAGAAGTCAGCTTGCGGACCATATTTGGCTCAAGGGAAAAGGCAGGGCGAGCAGTTAGATGCCCTGGTTGTTTAGGGGTTCGGCCGGGTTTAAGTACCTTCCTTCCCCTTTGATTTCCTAAACCCTAAACCCTAAACCCTCAACCTTAAGCCCTACCCTAAACCCTAAACCCTAAACCCCTAAACCCCAAACCCTAAACCGGTCTACGGCTTTAGGCCTCTAAGCGCGCTGACCTGGGCCTCATCCAGTGGGCTTTGCGTCGGCAGGGCTCTGGGAGAGGACAAGACCTGCTGTGGTTAAGATCATGATTACTTAGGGTTTGTTTAGGGTTTAGGATTTAGGGCTATGTTCATATAGTAGAGGTTTAGGGCTTCGGATGCAGGCTACAGGATGCGGGGCACAGGGCATAGACTTTTCGTGACGAAATCCTACCTCCGTCGGTTTTGCAACTTGGCCCAGAACGACCTGGCTCTGTGCGAGGTTCCTAAAAACCAGTTCGGAGCATTCGGCAAAGAAGTCTTCCACGTCCCTGTGCAGCCGCACTTCCACGGCCTCTTCCATGAAGGATCCCTACAAAAGCTTTTGGCCGAAGGACTTGAGCAAAATCTGCTTGCGCTGCGTGACTTGGAGACAGGTGCGAATTTCTGTTGCATGCAAACCACAAAGCGTTTCTGGAATGCAGCCGTGCGCTGTTGCGTCAGAGAGAAGACTAGAAGCTACACGATTGTACTATACACTCTAGTACAGTACACCAGAGTTCGGCAATCCTATAGTATACTACTACAGCATATGATTTTAGTATATACGACAATCTACTGTTAGAGTATACTAACCCTAAACCCTAAAGCCCTAAACCCCAAACCCTAAACCCCAAAGACCACGAAGAGTGACGCTGTTCCGTGTGGATCCTTCGGCGGTTTCGTGGGAAAGGAAGCCCCAGAACCCTAGGGTTTAGGGCTTTAGGGGTTTAGGGTTTAGGGCTTCAGGGCTTAGGGCTTTTTTTTGAACATCTTTTTCCATCTGCCCGAAGGTGAGCCGGAACGCCGATTTCAGGCGAGATGTGTCAAGCTACCTCTCAGCTGTCACCCATCTTCTCCACAGACCCATGCGACCCTCTCGGACTCTGTTCCGACTTCTCATCCACTCGTGACCCTTCATCTGTCACCAATCCACTGATCTCCACCGCCATCAGCGCACCATCTGTAAGGGCAGCCTCAAGATCACACCCCATGGCTTCAACCCCCTCATGGCTTTCTCGCATCCCAACTGGATCGCCAACCGGAGCATGAAGTACCTCTGCATCCAGGTCAGGACACGTATCCGCACACGAAGCCACAGCATTTCCTGGTCGTAAAGCTCGTTCAGCCACATGTGGTACTCCTGGATCGTCAACAGGATCATGAAGAATGATCGTCGCGACCTCCGATTCAGGGCTTAGGGCTTAGGGCTTAGGGCTTAGGGCTTACGGTTTAGGAATGGGGTCTGGAGGGATGTGGGGCTGTCATTAGATGGAGCTTCTCTCTCTATATATCTATCTCTATACCTTAAGCTACCATAACCTACTTGTTCGTAGGGTCCTACGTTGATTATATATCAGTATAAGCCCACATATGGAATCTTTAAAAAAGCATATCCATAAAGCTCGAAAGCCAAGAGCCAAAACTCTCAAGCCCAAACCCTTATAAAGCGCGCCTTACTCCCAGAAGGAAACCTAAACCCTAAACCCTAAACCCCACTGAAGCGCGCCTTACTCCCAGAAGGATGAGGCCCATGGCCGCAGGCGCGAATGGTATTGGAGCCTCAGGGCTTTCGGCTCGAGTTTTTGGGCTGAGGGTTTAATGTAGGGCTCCAAGCCCTTAGCATCAAAATAGACCAAAAGCCTTACATAATATGGTCTTTGGGCCCAAAAGCCTTGACATTTGAGTCCTTTGAGGGTAAGGGAAGGACTCATATTTTCAGGCTTTTGGGCCCAAAGACCATACTATTTAAGGCTTTTGGGCGATTTTGATGCTAAGGTTTAGATGGGTTTAGGCTTTTAGGGCTTAGGGATTATAGCGCTTAGGGCAAGGTTTAGGGGTTTAGATGGATTTAGGCTGTTAGGGTGTTTAAGGATTATGGCACGTAGGATAAGGTTTAAGGGCTTAGATGTGTTTAGGCTGTTGGAGTTTAGGGATTATAGCTCGTAGGGCAAGGTTATTTCAGAGGTTTAGATGGGTGTAGGCTTTTAGGGTTTAGGGATTATAGTGCTTAGGGTAAGGTTTAAGGGTTTAGATGGGTTTAGGCTTTTCGGGTTTAGGGATTAGGGCTTAGGGTAAGTTTAGGGTCATATGGTGTAGGGATGAATTGTTATGGAGCCAGGTCTCAAAAGCCTATGACCCGAGCACCCCACCAGAAAATAGAACGCAAGACATGGGGCTTGACCTGAGCGGGGGGGAGGAACCGGGTTTAAGCCCTAAACCCTAAAACCCTAAAACCCTAAATCCTAAACCCTAAACCCTAGATCCTAAACCCTAAATCCTAAACCCTACACCCTGAATCCTAAACCCTAGAGCTTTCAGCTTAAGGTTTAGAATTTTAGAGCGGTTCAGGTTCAGGCTTTTGCGAGCTTCTTGGGGCCTTCAGGGCTTCATTGTTTAGGGTTCTGGATATCAGGGTTTAGGGTTTAGGGTGTTTAGTGTTTAGGGTTTAGGGGTTTAGGGTTTGGGGTTTAGGCTCCACGTAGGTACCGTTTTGGGGAAGACTTTCCCGAATCAGAAAAGTGATTCCGAATATAGAAATCCCACATTCTACCATAAACGGTACTTCGGTCCCTTTGGGACAATGTCATCAGGATCCTACTGCATAACTATTGCGGTCTATTGTACACTTCCACTTCAATAGGTTCACTAAGACTAAACCCTATGCCCTAATTACCGAATAGTTTTAAGTTAGACGTTCTTCAGATTTTCGAGCTGACCGCTCCGGTGCCCAAGACATAGAACCCTGCTAAAAAGATTAAAGGGCACCATAAACACAACCAGGTATCCTTCAGAACAAACATAAGACAACACAAAAGATTCTTATGAAACTATATGAAGCGAGTACAAAACATCAGCAAACCCTAAGACAGCCTGCAGTAGTAGAGTTACATAAAATGGGGGTTTCCGAAAATAGGGGACCCTAATATAGTACCCCAAATAGTAGGATCCTTATTATAAGGGCCCCAAAATAAGGTACCCCTAATTTTCGGAAACTCCCACATGTTCTTTCATCAGGCATTCTCCGAGTCTGTTACGCGGGGAACATGCACGCATCTCCTTTAGGCATAAACGAACTTTAGCTAGTTTGTCAGCTAGAGTATGGCTTCTCACTGTTGGTCAATACTTCCGATTGCGTTCTTCACCGAAGTTGCCCCGATGCTTCTGTGTAAGTTCTGGCAAAGAACCCTAGTTGCGAGGTGCTTCAAGGCCGAATCCCGAGCCGAAGGCCCGAGAGCGGCGCTTTTTTATGGAAGACAGCCTCTTTAGCGACCCAGTGCCCAAGACCCTGCGTCTTCGCCGGCGACCCTGAAACCTGAAGAGTTTAGGGCTGAGGCTTTAGGGGTTTAGGGATTATGAGAACCCCCAAATAAGGTACCCCTCATTTTCGGAAACTCCCAAATAGTGCGGCTTTGGGGTGCCAACCCGGCCATCCTTCAAGCCCTATAGAACCATTTTCCTATATAAGGCTCTAAGTTGGGCCCAAAGATCATACTATGTAAGGCTTTGGGCTATTTTGAGCCTTAGGGTTAGGAAATCCACCAAGCTCCTGACAAAATCCTAGGCCTACCATTTGGGTAAAGGACCCTTATTCAAAACGATACGTTCGGTTACGGCTTCCGTTTCCTANNGTTAAGACGGAGGGGACGGGACCTAGAGTACACAACAGCGCGCGCGGTCAACCCTCCTTTTTTATCCGTTGGCGAAAACCGTCCAGTCAGCAGTCAGCCGGGTCAGTAAGGTTTGAAACCGGTCGGGGACCGGTGGCCAAAAACGGACCGGCTGACCGAGACCGGTCG